TAAAGTAGTGTACTTTTCTTTTTCGTGTTATGAGTATATTAGCTATATGAAAAAACATGTATCAAATATGATTAAATTAAAAAAAGTGGTATATCAAATGCACATGAAATAGGTGCATGCATACAGTTTCAGCCAAAAAATTTACCATTATACCCTTCAGCAATGACAAAAAACAGTTGAACATAATTATTTTATTCATGTGTATTTTAGACATTGGAACACTCTTTTATATTTTTCTATCCGAGTTAGTGTTTTTTACTGTTCCGATGAATCTTTCAAATACATTAATTGACTTTACATAAATAAAAAATAAAATTTTTTGATCGTATATCCGAATTAGTGTTTATTTGTTTTTATATGTTTACTACTCTAGGGACATAATTGTAATTATGTTTGTGTTTACATTTTCTATGTGTAATTTTCTTCCTTTCTTTATCCTTAATATTGTATGTCTTTCTGTTGTAAACGCAAAAACAGGAACCAAACAATATCAAACAATAGGAAAATTGTACTTTTCAATTTGGCGTTGCTTTTATTTAGAAACCATAAAAAAATTGTACTTCTCAGCATGCTTTCATTTTCTGTGTTTGCTAACTTTAAATGCCAAATCTGTCCTGCTGTTGCTACTTATTTTTTTATTGGTAAAATACCATTTTTACCCTTTATTTATATTTGATCAATATGAAATATACTCAAATATCGATTTTTGGCATTCTTTAACTATGAAGTAGATCAAATTGGACTAATATACCCCTACCCCTGCATGCATCCTTTAACAAACGTTACAATCAATAGCAACATACTTTTATTTTCTCTTTTTGTTAATTCTAAAGGACAAATCTCTCCTGCCCGTTCATCCTGCCTTTTTTTTTAATTGTAATGGCAAAATCTGTTTTTTATATGTTTACTACTCTACGGATATAATTGTAATTATGTTTGTGTTTACATTTTCTATGTGTAATTTTCTTCCATTATTTATCCTTAATGTTGTATGTCTTTCTGTTGTAGTGACAATGGCAGCTAGAAATATCACTTTGATCAGCGACTTAGACAATATGAGGGATGATTACACACTAAAAGTGTGTATCATCCGGTTGTGGAGATCATTTTCCGAATCTGACCCCCCTGTTGTGAAATCAATTGAAATGATATTAATGGATGAAATGGTAAAATATCCTATTACAATAACATTATTCAAAATCATTTTTTTTGTATTTGCTCATTCCAATAATATTATTCAAATTCATTCATGGTCGAATAATTGATTCAACTTTGACCAAATTAAATAAATTAATATACAATTGGTCAACAATATATATAATATTCTTACAATATATTAATAGGGTACAAAAATCAGAGCCAATGTCTACTAAAAAGATTTCCAAAGGTTTGACTCCAAGTTGAAAGAAGATGACGCTATTTACATCCGATCCCCCATTATAGCTCCAAACAAATACACTTTTAAAATAAGTGATGTAACCTCCAAGTTAAACTTGCATGGACAAACAACTGTTCATGAGTGTCTTGGTTTTCAATCCAAAACAAAATATGAGTTTTGTTTTGTATCGTTTGAAACCATTATCTCTGCGACAACTACATCTAATATCTCAATTGGTACTTTTTCCCCTATTTTATTGCATTTTGTATTTAATTTTTTAATTTTACATAAATTTGACATATTGTATTATCATTTTGTAGATGTTATAGGTGAAGTTGTTTCGTTAGGCAAACTGGATTCCCGTGATGTTAGCATATCGAAACATAGGCTAACTTTACAAATCAGAAACTTAGAGTAATTATAACTTTTATTATATTATATATTAAATTATTATTATTATTATTATATAAACATTTAACCTTTGCTGTTTCTGTAGAGGTTTGCAGGTTAACGTCACATTGTTTGCAGATTTCGCATACCAAATGATTTCTTATCTTGAAGCTCATAAGCAAGTTGGTCGTGTGGTTATTATTTTGCAGTTTGCAAGACTTAATGTCTATAACGGTATAGTTCTTATAAAAGGCAACCTTCGTTATTTTACGCTTTTTTATTACTCATTATTTTGACTAATTTTTTTCTTTCAACAGGAATTCCTTCTGTTAACAATTATTTTGATCACACACATATGTTCATAAATGCTGAACTTCCCGAAATTGTGGCCTTCACAGATAGGTAACAAACTATTTTAATTATTCATTCTTATTTTGTTTCTTTTTAATAATTTTACTAATTTCATAATTATTTTCCTAAATAAAAAAACAGCTTGGTTGGATTACGAAGAATTCAAAACCCTTCTTCTTCTTTGACTTTTGATAGCTCTCAATCATACAATGAATATGAAGACTTTTTGAATAATCACAAAGTAAAAAATATTGTCGATTTGCTAGAACCACAAGAGGTATGTGAATAATTTGGTTTATTTAATGTGGTTTTGTTTTATATTATTCATTTATTGTAGTTGCATTGTTTTTTTAAGAATCTTTTTGTATTTTATATTTTTTTAGGTCGGGAAATTTATCATTGTTGGTACAATTTACAGTATACGATAAGATATTGATTGGTATTATGATGCGTGTTCAAACTGTGGAAAGAAAGTTGATTGAAGAAATGTTTTTAGCGGTCCAGATAGTGGTGATGCAACTGTGGTTGTTGAATGCTCTACTGAAAAGTGTAAAAAAAGGAGATTTCGTCAACTCCAAGGTTTTTTACATTTACCAAAACCTTAACCGGACAAACTTTCACTTTAGTTATCTTTGTATTTAACTTTTCTAATGTTTGCTTGTCTTTCTCTTTAACATCTATTCAAATTTGTATATTTTTGTACAAATATATATTAATATTAATTTTAAATAATAAATATAAAAATGTGAAACAAATTTATTTCTTATTAATAATATAATTTTTTTACAAATTTTTTACCCGTGGATTCCACGGGTTGTAACCTAGTATGTATGTATATATATATATATATATATATATATATATATATATATATATATATAATATATAATATATATATATATATATATCATTAGAAAAGTATCGACGATGCGGTCGTTATAAGACTAGTGTTGAGTACTTTCGACATTAGTTTAGTACAAATATCATTTAATCTATTTAAAAAATAGTATTATAAATGGGTGCTTAGTAATTTAAGTAAATATAGAGGGTGATTTTTGAAAATTCAATTACTATAAATAAGAGGCTCTAGGCTCTCATATTTCTTGCACCATTCTCTTGATTCAAGAGTTTTTCTCTTCTTATCCCCCAAGCATTTCGGTCCCTCGTGATTCGACTTCTCTTTATGTAGTTTTTAGTATAGTAAGATGAGCGTTGAAGCGTTGCTATAATGTTTCTTAGAAAGATTTAGCGATGAAGTTTTTCCCCTAAAGAGCTCGACTCCTAGCTAAGTATGTTATGATACCTCACTTTAAATATAGTTTATATTATTGTTATTATGAACCTATAAATAAAATTTATCAGTGATTCAAAGTCGTTATATTGATTGATCTACATACGGAGATGATGTCTAGGTTGTGATTTAGTGAGGTGTTTAAAGTGAGATTTCCAAATAGTATACTTCGTATACCAGATGGACCCAACCTTCGATATGATCCTACGTGGTTGTTCCTTACTTGATAGATCATGAAGTAGACTGAATTAATGAGGAATCTAGACTAATAATTAGCTGCAATAAAGATTAGACTAAAACTTAGTGATAATAATGTTAGGTTTCGTCGAAGGAAAATAGAATCATTAAAAGCGAAGCGCTGCCAGAGTTTGGAATCATCACTTTAACAAGTGAGTGCATAGTTACTTTCATATTACACATAGATATGAAGTATTTTATATAAATTGCATGTTATGTGTGCATATTATATGTATACTTGCTATCTATGCTGGATGAACACTGTTATACATGTTTAAATGATTTAAACTGTATATATATATTTTATACTTAGAAATTACACTGGGTAAAGATGTGTAGATGAAAGATGAGTTGGATGATGAAATGAAAGGTGAAATATATCATGAGATGAGGGTGAGAGGTGAATAATGAGAGAAGCCTTTACCCAAGCGTTGGCCTCGTCATCTAGCATAGTATGGATGACACTACAAACTATTTTAGACAGTCCGGCGGAACACTAGCAGGCTCACAACTTGTAGGTGTTGTGCGGTGTAATTTAAAAATCCATTGACATGTATTGCGAGTGGACTCCCGAAAATAATACTGTCATTAAACAAGATAAACCCTGACAACTATGGACTTAGTGACTATTATATAAACTCGGGCGTCTATGGACTTAGTGCCTGTAATATAAACCCTGGCGACGATGAACTTTGTGCCTATTCCTTAGGACAATCCTTAGGAATAAATAATGAGGAGCAGAGGATTCATAGAGAAGATAATTAAGAATAAAGAATATAATGGGGATGGGTAAATAGGTTAATTGTTTGATGATGAAACATAATAACTATATTATTGTGGGTTGAAAACCCTATGTACTCACCATGTTTCCCAACCTGACCCACTCAGTTTATTTGCATCACATGTGTCGATGTGAAGCTACATTACACTGGGAGATTAAGGAGATGTAGATCATTAGTGTAAATGAATGTAACATCTGTTTATGCTCATGTTTTTGTATTGACGATGACATCCCAAAGTTTTAAAATGAATAAAATACATTTCTTAGGAAGTGTTTTAATAACATATTTATCATGTGTTTCTGGGAACAAATTTCGCAACACTTTTCTTTAATAGGTTATTCTGATTTTAAAATAAGCATAAATAAATTTTTTAA